GCGCTCCGTCCGGCGGCGTCTGGGAAGCTCTTGTGTGCTTCCCCCCTACGTTGGGATGTTTTGGACAGAGCACAAAGGCTAAAGAATAACTCTTTGTTCAAAAAGCAGTGGTGTCACTAGGTTTGGCATCACCCGGTGTGGAAACTCATGGTGCCACTCCCTGATTGACCTTCTCCCATCCCACACCATACAGAATCCTTGGTCATGTTTTTTGTACTAATGTCACTCATTAATCTTAATTCCTGTATATTACTGAATGTCATGGTAATAGTTATGACGTAAATAACCAGCAAAATTAAAATTATACCTTGAAATTACAGTATCATACGCACAGTCTCAATGAGTTTACATATGCATAGTTTCATGTGGCTGAAGTGAAAATTCGGTAAAATGTGATGTTTTTAAAGAACATTTTTCTTTCTCTCCTTTTTCCTCCCACTGAGCCTCACCGTACTCAAATTATCTTTTCAGCATTTTAATGGGACACAGGCAAATGCCACCATCCATTTCTGCCCAGAGGCAGATGTTTGGGGAGTAGTGCAGTCACTCCCACTATAGGGCGTCACCTAGTGCGACTCACACCCCCTGCACCCCCCTAGTGACACCACTGTCAAAAAGAGAAACACACATGCAAATTCCACTAAAAAGATACCTACCAGTCAGCATGGTGTAGTGGTTTGAATATTGGACTGTAACTCTGGAGAGCAAGGTTTGAAACCCTGCTTGGCCATGGAAATCTACTGGGTGACTTTGGACAAATCACATCCTCTCAGCCTCAAAATCACATCCTCTCAGCCTCCAAAGAAACTTGCCAAGAAAACTCTTAGGTTCACCATAAGACAGGAACGAATTGAAGGTAAACACCACCACACCATTCAATGACTCCTGGAATTCCCCATCAAGCAGTAACAGCTTGTGGCTTCCATATCAATGGGGCGATGAATTCAAGTTTCAGTCTCCAAGGTGCTGAGCTCTATCCCCGCAAACATTCAGTACCTTGGATAGCTCATTTAATGGCCAAATTAAAACCTAATAGCCACAAGCTGCTACTTGAAAGGGGGGGGGGGTCTTGGGAGCTGTGATCCAAAAACAGGTTACTTGCTCAAGCTTTGAGGCTGCTGCCTGCCTGAACAGAAGATCCCCAACACATTTTCTGATTTAGTGTAACAACAGCTCTGTATTTGACCAGAGTTCAGTAGAAAAGCACATGCTTTGCATGAATGAAATCTTAGTCCCAACTCCTGGCATTCCAGATAGGGCTGGGGACAACCCATCAGGAATTCTGCTGGCAGTTACTGTAGATAATACTGGGTGAGAGAGACAAGTAGTCTGCCCTGAGATAATGCAGTTCCCTTTATACCAGGGGTAGGCAACCTAAGGCCCGGGGGCCGGATGCGACCCCCTGAGGCCTTTGGACCAGCCCCAGGCTGGTCCTGCCACTGCCGCCGCCCCCCACCATGATGATATTGATTATTGTTGTTAATACTTGTTCTTGGGGTTTTCTTAGCAAAATCTCCACAGGGGTTTTGCCATGGCTTTTCTGGGGCTGAGAGAGTGTGCATGCATATTTTTTTTAATTTTTAATTTTTTAAATTTTTTATTATTTATTTATTTATTTATTTTTGGTGCTTCGGCCCCCCAAGCGTCTGAGGGACAGCAACCCGGCCCCCAGCTCAAAAAGGTTGCCTACCCCTGCTTTATACCATAGGAAAAAGTACCAAAGGTCATAAGTGTTGGACTACAAATCTGGAAACCAGTATTCAAATTCCCCTCAGCCATGGAAACCTGCTGGGTGAAATTGAGCAAGCCACACTCTCTTAGCCTCAGAGGAAGGCAAAGGAAAAACTCCTCTGACCAAATCTTGATGGAAAAAAACATCATGATACTGCCATAAATCAGTAACAAATTGAAGACACATCACAATCACCACCACCATCATGTCAAGGTTTCAGACTCAGTCCCTGGCACAGAAAATCAAAATGTTCAAGGGAATAGTGATAGGAAATACCTGTTATTGCCTGAGACATCAGAGAGCCACTTTAAGTTAGAGTAGGCAGCAAAGCGCTATTTGGACAAATATTATTGATTTATTAGTTACATTTTCACCCTAGCTTTTCTTCAAATGAGTTCAAAGCTGACATATGGTACTCTTCCCCCCTACTGTATCATCACAACAACTTTGTGTCATAGGTTAGCTGGGCATGAAAATTACTGGCCTAGTGCCACCCAGTGAGCTCCTCAAACTAGATATCTAATTTCTAAGTCTACCACTTTACTTTGCCAAAAAAGAGAATACAGGGATCAAAACAGCTGCCTCTTAGTCCCTAATCCACAGAATATGCTAATTTTCAGTAAATGCTTTAGGGGTGAACAATGCACTCTGCACTTGCTCAGAGCCCTTCCATATTATATTTTGCCCATCAAGAGTCTTGGCATTGAAAAAGAACAAAAGGGGCTCTGCATGGGCACAAATTAAGTATAGCTTTTGTTTTTAATTCAATTGCTCCTATTTGAATAAAGCAGTATAAAGTATTGGTGCCCATTGTTTAGTATGGATGTGATTTGCTTGGAGCTGTAAAGTATTACTTGTTGTAACTGTATCTCCCAGAATGCCTCAGCCAGCATGTCCAGTGCCCATGTTGGCTGGGGTATTCTGGGAGTCACAGTGCAAACAGGTAATATTTCCAAGCCCTGGGCTTTATTTAAGGCAGTGATCCCCAGCCTGCAACCCTTAGAATTGTGGAATTTATACCAGGGACCACACTGGTTGGGGACAGTGGGAGTTTCAAACTGCTAGGTTAGCAGAAGCTGGGACTAGTGACAGGAGCTCACCCCATCAGATAGCAACCGGGCCTCAAACTGCCAACCTGCCAATCTTGCAACCAACAGAGTCAGCATCTTAACCACTTGAGCCACTGCATCCCCCCTTATAGTTTACATCAGGGGTAGGCAACCTTTCCCCTTTAAGGGCTGAGAGACTTCAGCTCCCAGAATCCCAGGAGCTATTGGCCAACATGGGACTATTGGCCAACATGGCTGAGGCTTCTGGGAGCTGAAGTCCCTCGGCCCTTAAAGGGGAAAGGTTGCCTACCCCTGGTTACATGTTCCTTATAGCTCAGGGCCTTGTAGCTCCATTTGTAAGATAGCTTAAAATAAATAAATAAATGAAACAGTACAAAATAAGTTCAATTTGTAATCATATACTGTACTATACTTCTAATATATCAAACATGACAATTTTATGCCAAACCAAGTTATATGTAATGCATTTTATGTACCTGGAACAGCAAAGTGACCTTCATTCTGTAAAAGATACTCATATTGCATTTTTCAATTTTTCAGAAAAACTTGACTATGGGGCGGAACAGGCCGCCTCTGAGAGAGCCAGGTTGGAGCCGCGGCAACCACACATTGTGCCCCCAATCCAGATTTTTGCTGGCCGAAAAAGAAGTGGCAAATTGCGGCTCTTTTTTGAGCCAGTGAAAAGCTGCCTTTTCCCTCCCTGCTGTGGCTTTACAGTGTTCCTGCAGGGTCTGGCATATAAACACCGTGCTGCTGGAGCGCCGTGAAGCTGGCCCACATCTTAGTATGAATCCCAACTGGCTTCTGAGCATGCGGCATCAAAACACCGTGCTCTGAAGCTCCCCAGAAGCTGGCACAAAGGGGCAGTTTGTTTTGCCCCTTTGTTGGGCTACAGCTGTACCAACCTAGCTGGCTGGAGGATTATGGGAGTTGTAATCTAAAATCATATCACTTCCCCACACTCTGATGCTCTCTTTATTCACCCTTCTGGGATACCTCATCGAAGGATAGGGGAGTCCATTTGTGCTTATTTCTTTAACATGGGTGGTATTTTGTGCTTGGTTAATTTGGAACGGATTCTAATTACAAAACATCTGAAAAACAGACATGGGTTTTCAGTCTACAATTTGTGCCATTTCATAGATTATATGAAACAGCTGTTTTCTACAGACTGAAAAGAAGATAAGGTTTAAAAACTGAGTAGAGATGTGTTTTCTTTCCAGGTCAGATCCTTGTATAGTCAGTAGATCAAACAAGTTGTTTTCGTCTTGACCAGTAACAAGGCAGCAGGTGATGGGAAAGACTTGGACCTGCCCCACTGAAAAGCTGTTGCTCCCCTACAGTAGTAAATACCAAGTTATTTTTATATTAGTTACATGTCTGTTCTGCTCTGCCTTTCTCCCAACAAACTCACAGTGGTGTACATGGCTTTCCTTCTCCCTACTTTATTCTCACAACAGCCCTGTGAAGTAGGTCACACTCTCTGTCAGCTGGGCCAAAGTCACCTGGAGAGTTTCACAACTCAGTTTGGACTTAAAACCAGTATCGCTCAAGTCCCAGCCTTGCAAACTTACCAGACAAGGGTGATTCTAGGATCCTGGTCACCTGAATAAAACATACAAGATAAGACCATGGTCTTTTTTTATATATTACACAATTATAGCACTTTGATCTGACTTCAACTGCCATGATCACATCCTATGAAATCCTGGGATTTACAGTTTGGTGGGAGCTGTCTGAGATGGAACAATGG